TGAGGATCATGTTGCTGATGATGAGTCATGTTGAATCCCACGCCGCAGGAGGAAGCTGTGGTTCTGTTTGAGGATCTTCGACTGTGTGCTGTCAAATCTCTGGATCACGTGGACCGACGCTTCTGCTTTGAGCTGCTCTCCGTCCAGAAGTAAGACAGTGAACACGGCGTTTTCACACCTGCAGGGTCATGTGATATGGCGTTAATTGACCTGTTTGTTTCCAGGTGTTGTGCTCTGCAGGCCGACTCGGAGCAGCTGAAGCAGGCCTGGCTCAGTGCTCTGCAGGGCAGCATCGACCTCGCCTACAGAGAGCGAACCGACACTCAGCTGACGCAGGCCGGTCCACGCCACGACCACGATACACTCACCTCTGAATATTACAGCTAACTCCCCTCCCCCATCCATTTGGCTGACGAGTTCTTCCTCTCTATGTGCAGCCTAAGGAGCTCCCCCCTCTGCATTGTGGCGGGGACGTCTCTCCGGGCCCTCCCGCCCAGAGGCCGGCAGCATTGAGCGTGGCCCTGAGTGGCCCTGGGAACCAGAGGTGCTGTGACTGCGGGGAGGAAGAGCCTCGCTGGGCCTCCATCAACCTGGCAGTCACCATGTGCATCGAGTGCTCAGGCATACACCGGTAACAGCCCAGGTTTCAGGAGGACTTCCTCCTCATTTCTTCTTCACTGCTTTTTAGCAGGTGTCAGGCTTTAATCTCGCCCTTTGATCTTTCATCAAGCTTCTCTGTCCACACACAGCCTGTGGGAACCATGAGAAGTACCCACTGGTGTTTGGTGATCTTCATAGTTTACTGTCAGAAGATGAAAACCAGCAACATGTTGGCCGATGTTCTTCTTTCTCTGTGTCTGCAGGAGCCTCGGAGTCCATCTGTCGAAGGTGCGATCTCTCACTCTGGACTCCTGGGAGGCCGAACAGCTGAAGGTAGAAGCGAAACACTCTGCACTGAAGCTTTAACACTTTAACACTCCGGCATCATAAAGTGAAGAGCAGACCCCAAAGTGAGATTCTAAAATGTGAATGCTCCTCCTCAGCTGCTGTGCGTTCTGGGAAACGATGTGATGAACCAGATCTACGAGGCGCGATGTTCAGAGGAGGGACGACTCAAGCCCCGAGCCGACAGCCCACGGTAAAAACACGAGCCGATGAAAGGAACCGGCTTTGGTTAAACGTGAATGTTGGAAGCAGAGACTCAGAGCGTCCTGTTTTTCTCGCTTTCAGGGCCGAGAAGGAGGCGTGGATCAAAGAGAAATACGTGGAGAAGAAGTTTGTTCAGGCCAACGGCGCTCGTGAGTCCGACCGTCTGCACATTTTAACTGGAATTTAATAAGTTTGTTTAAACTGGAACTGCCCCCTGTAACACCTGACCCATCACGCCTCTCTGCTGCAGCACCCGTCTGTTCACTTCCTGTCCCGTGCACGACAGCTGTGTGGTTCGCTTCCTCTGTCGGTGCTCGCATCGGCGTGTTGCGGCGTCCTGTTGCGGCTCAGCACTAATTTAAATTTATTGTGTTTAGAAAAAAATGTTTTCTCCGTTTTCTGTTTCAGAGCATCATCGTCATAAGGACTCAGCCATGCTACGTCTCTATCAGGCGTCTTTGGCAGGAGACCTGGTTGCCATGG